CAATTTCACCCAATACTTACAGCAGATCTTGGAGCAAGTAGGGCACATATATCTGGAACCATGTCCGCAATGCCTACTTGCCTTTCTTTCCTTCCCGTAAGGCATTGGAAATAGGCACAGAAGAAACCCAAGGAAATTATTGGACATGAGAGCTTGCTGGAAAAAAGGAAAAAAAATTCTTTCTGGCCAGTTATAATCTTCAAACCCATGAAACTCCAAACATGCAATTTGTTGGGGTCAGAAGGAGAGAAGAACAATACCACAGTCATTTCCTTCATTCCTCTCACAGTGTTTGAGCCATGTTATTTTATTCCTGCTACTTGCGTCACTTTCATATGTAAAATCAGAAAGAGTATGGATTCATGTGGACATGGGTTCATATGTGCTTTAATATCTCCTAGTGGTTAATATAGTTCTGAGAAACGAATTCTCTATGAAATCAATGGGAGTTATGCTGCTGAGTTCAAAGGTGGGGCCAGGAACTATCCCTCTGGCTTACCACTCAAACACCCCCATTGACCTCTAAGAGCAGAACTAGGGATGTAAAATACCCTTTCATTGGTTAACCAGTTAAACATCACATTTATCCAGTTAACCAATCAAACCTGGGGGGCGAGGGCCTGGCTGAAGTGCCTCCCCCTCCCTGCTGCAGGGGTTGTTCTGGCTGGGCTAGAGTAAGTCACTGCCTGCAGTGGGCGGGGAGCTACTCCAGCTCCCACCAGTTAACATTTCACACCCCAAAGTTGTAGCCAGACAGGCTTCCCCTGTCACATCAATCTTGCTTGCCCCTCTGAGGTGCCTGTATACAGGGCAAAGAAGGAGCAATAAAAATCAGCATAGCCTTGGAAGCTTCGATGCGAGGCCAGGATATGCCAGCTCCTCTGACCCTGAGTAAGCTGAAAACATAGATATGAGAAAGAATGATTAAGGCAATAATCAGACCTCGAGGCTGTAAGAACTGCCCTGGCTGGCACCTATGTTGATACGATCACACACAGTCGTCCCTGGAAGAGGAATCTCCCACTGAGAAAAGAATCTCCGGTACTTCCAATTTAGTTATCTCTCTTACAAGTGTAAATTAAGTTCACAACTCCCTTGTAAGAACTGGCATCACAAAGACGAACCAGCACCATAGATAAGAAAGAGAATACATGACCCCACGGGTATAAAGATGGGTCCAGCAGCACACTCATGCTGAGCGTCAATCTACCATCTACCTGCTGGTCGGGTTAGGTGATTGCCTCCCGAGGTCCACGGGGATGCCCACCTCGTATTCGTCTTTCAGAGGAATTGAGGGACCTATCCTGGCCTGACCCGCTGGAATCGAGAGACGCAGAAGGGGGTAAAAGTTGTACCTGTATGTGTCCTTTGGTTTTAGTGCATGCATAGAGCTCTTTAAAGATTAAGCTGTCACTTGGTACCATTACTTTCTATCTTCCTTCTTCCTATGTAACCATAAGATCTGTATTTGCTAGCAGTTAAGAAATAGAGCAATAGCCATTATAACCATATGATTTATAAGCTTCTTTTAATAAACCTATAACGGTTTAAGCTTTAACCTGACTCCTTCAGTTGCTGTAACAGAACCAAGCACAATTTAAAAGAACTTCAGCTGGTCATAAGGGACAGGTATAGGGAGAGCTTGGGCGTTTGGATCGTGTCACTCCCAGGTAACAGATTCGTTGGGGCATCTCTGTCTTCCCTAGAGTGCCTGCTGCGAAGGGATCCTATATCCTAGTAGCTGAAATCTGAGATGTAATGAGCTCTTCCTATAAACTCAGGGCATCTGTCAGCCTGTTGGCTGCCCTCCGCGACGGGATCCCGGACCTAGCAGTAAAGTCACAAACGTTAAACTCGGGGTGTCTGTCAACCTGTTGGCTGCCCTCTGACGGGACCCCGGTCCTAGCGGTAAAGTCACGGACGTTAAGCTTTTGCTCGGGGCACCCTCCAGCCTTCTAGGCTGCCCGCTGCGACGGGAACTTGCGTCTCAGCAGTTGAAGACTTGGGCGTAACACACACGCACACACTGCCCTGACCATCGGCTGACAAAAGTGGAACCAACCAGGATAATGGAGGAGACCAGAGGCATGTGTGTAATCCCCGCTAAGGGTATGTCTCCAAGGCACTAGGAGGTGTGATTCACAGATTGGGTAGACTTACATATGCTTGAGCTAGCACACTAAAAATAGCAATGTAGCCACAGTGATAGGTGGCTACTTGGGGTAGTCGCCAGGTACAATCTCTCCTGGCCCTCAGGTGGCTATGCTATATCTAGTTAGCTCAAATAACAATTGCAATGAAACTGCTGAAGCATGGTCAGTGCACTGCCCCTGGAATCCTGTTATGTACTCCAGTGGCTATCTTGTGCAGCCACCTGTTCTGCTACCCCTGCAGTGCTATATGATTAAAGCTAGCTATATCAAAACCAGCTCAGGTATGTCTACACATGCTGCAGTCACATCTCCAATTGTGATATACCCACAACTTCAGACTCTTCCATGATAGTCAATAGTCTCTATTTCTTTTTCCCCAAGCAGCATAATTTTTGTTTAAATATTTGAAAAAAGGTAATATTTAATAAAATCTGGGGCAGTGGGAAGTGCATATACACACACTTCAGACTAATATTCTCTCTTCAGTATACTACCTAAGTCTTTTCTTCTTGTATCTTACTTTAGGACATGAGGTCACACTCTTCATTCCTTTAAATTTATCAACTCAAGCTATATTTAAAAAAAAACCAAAATCCTGATGAGAAGCAGGTTAGTCTAATCTAGGCTGAGCACACCTGGCAATTCTCAGGTGTGAGAATCAGGGTACGTCTAGACTACAGGCTTTTGTCGACAGAAGTTTTGTCGACAGATACTGTCGACAAAGCTTCTGTCGATAAAGACATTCAATTCTGTTGACAAAGCAAGCTGCTTTGTCGACAAAACCCTGTAGTCTAGACACAACCCTAGACGCAATAACACCTTCTGTCGACAGAACGCTGTCGACAAAAGGCGTTATTCCTCGTAAAATGAGGTTTACCAGCGTCGACAAAACTCGTTATGTCGACAGAACTCAGCGGTAGTGTAGACGCAGATTTAGTTTTGTCGACAAAAGTCCACTTTTGACGACAAAACCCTGTAGTCTAGACACACCCTCAGTCTCAGCACAAAATGAATCAGCAACTTCTGCCCTTCGGTATGCACACATAACTCCCATTGAGTTGAGCTCCCTTTGCCTCCATCTCAGCTCCAAGTTTTGACACCATATATTTCATTCAGGTCCTGAATGGTGCATGTTCATCTATGGCGGAGAGGGTGGAATCTAGGAGCACAAGCACATGGTGTGGCTGCAGAAATGGGGCCTTAGAGAACTGAGAAAAAGATTAAAAATTAAATGTACAGAAACCAACAGGAAGCAATTAAGCAGAATGGCACGTGCAGCTATATTTCAGGTTGGTTTCCAGTGCTGTGGGCCATGAAACAAATCTTTGCTTACTTAATACCAAATAATGATTAAAAAGTAATGAAAAAAGTAACAGAAAATAGTGTCCATCACTAAAAAAATCTAGATGGAACCAGAAAGACGTCAACTGCTGCTGCTTTGGATTAACAGAGCCCTTTCTAGGACCCTGTGATATTTCATGCTAATGTCATGGAAGCTGGGGGCAGAGCAGCTCCAATTGTCTGGCTGGCTGGAGCACTTCCAGGTTCCAGTTGGTGCCGGACTATCAGGAGTGCTGGACCACTGGATGCCGGACAATTGGAGTTTCACTGAACTGTGTTACACAAAAACTACTAAAAATATAAAGGGAAAATTAAAAAAGATTTGGCAGGGTAAGGTGACTGTATATCTGTGCTTATTTCATTTGCAGCATTTTTCTTCTGCATAGTAAAGTTTCAAATCTGTATTAAGCCAATGTTCAACTGTAAACCTTTGAAACAACCATAACATTTTGTTCAAAGTTACAAACATTTCAGAGTTAGGAACGACCTCCATTCCAGATGTGTTTGTATCTCTTGAGGTTCTACTGTAAACTTAAATATAAACACCTACATGCTATCACCAGCTTTTACGGATCTCTTAATAGGGGTCACATAGAATGTTCTGTAACTGCTCAGGAAATAGAAACTCTGTCCATTGGATTTCTGTAATACTCTTTACAGTGTATATCCAACCTAATTTCAAAACAATGGCCAGGTCTAATGCTTACATGGGAATGCAGGGGGCACAGTGAATAAAGGCCAAGCAGAACTGGAACCCTTCTCTGCTCTCCTGAGTATCTCTCAAGAGGGAAAAAAGAGCTATGACCCTACCGCCTTCCTAGAAACAGCCAGTGGAAGCTCAGAATTTCCGCTTCACAGGAAATGTTATCGACATACATCAGATTTCATAGAAAATTTAGGTTTTGTCAAAAGAAACATTTTCTCACAGAAAAATTCTTAAATCCCCCCCCTCAGCTCTAATTTCAGCTCACAGTGCAGAATGAAGGGGAGTAGCAATGAAGTTCTGCTAGTGTGTGCCATACCACCAGGGGATACTCTGCCAGGTACAATGCTATTGTGCCCTGCTTCCAACAAGTAATATAACTAGAGAAGATAACTGAACCCCAAGTAACTAAGAAAGAAAAAAAATACATTTGCCTGAAGATTCAACATTTAATTATCATTAATATTACACAAAGTTAATAATTAGTTACCAGTATCTTGGAAAATAAAAGAAACCCAACAACCATTTATGTGCCTTTTTAAAATTTGCTCAATGTTATAATCCAGTGTTTCTCAACCTTTTTTTTTTTAAAAAAAAATATCCCCCCCTTTTTTAAAAAAAAATATAAGTACCCCCAGTACCTACAGTTTTCAGACACACAATTATTTTTTCTACCATTGCAACACGTTTGTTTAAACAACTTAATAGTAGCCAGGTGGGCGATGACATTTGTTGGGTGTAAAAAGTACAAAAATAATGAAGTGCTGTAAAACTTAAAACAAAAATTCAGCTTTCTCCAAATTTCAGTTGTATTGATGTACCCCCCCGACTTCTCTCAAGTACCACTAAGGGTACTCATACCACTGGTTGAGAAACACTGTTATAATCCAACCTCAATTGAGAGAAATCTACATAACTATGAAAAATCATGTTGGGTGACAATCTTCTATACTGTTCTCCAAAAGACTTCAGTAAGGTGACTGTACATGTGTAATGTGAGCAGAACCTGACTCAGTATGAGAAATTGAAATTAAATGATAAAATTGTCATTATTCATATTTCAGATTTTATAGAATATTAATTTGTACCCAAGACAATTAATTTGAGATATCCACCTGTGTATTTTTCATTTAATGAAAGGTTCTCTCTGTTGGCCAGATAAAAGTAAAGAGAAAACATCAGTATCGAGCTGAAGTGGTAAAAATGAGAGACATAGATCAATTCCATATGTTGTGAATTAGGAGCTAATGAACACCAGTACATTGCTTAAATTATTGGGTGAAATATTTTAGTCAACAAAGCAAAAAATCTATGCAGAGGCAATTATGATTTATTTATTTAGCAAAATATTGGGAAAATGCTTTTCTTTTTCTTCAAGACATCAATAGCCTCTCCTCTCCATACTGAGATCTACGATTTTTTGCAGTTTAATGAATGCAGTGTAAAGAAGGGTGTCAAACTCATTGTCAGAGCTACATTATTCTCCATATCAATGATTGCCAAGTTAATGATTCATGTGCCTCCAATGCTCTGCAAAACAATGAAGAACTGGCTGTCCCATGGTCTGTCTCTTCTTTGTTTCCAACTACATAATCACTCAGAGCTAAAAAAAATAAATATATAAAATGCTTTCTTAATACAGCTTTTCCACATAAGCAATTGCTGGAGTCACTAACGGGCGGTGGTGATGACGGTGATTTTTTTTTTTGGTAACTGAAAAAAGAAGAGATAATCTAAGAAACAATTTTCCTATTGAGATGTGCTCCACCTATGAATACATTTGAAAACCTTTACCCTATAAAATCAAAAGCAGATCATTTCAGGGTTCATCCTCCAGTTTTCATTTAGTGTGGCAAATGAGAAAGGGATTTCTCATGGGAAATAATTTCTTATGCTTATTTATCTCCTACTGTTACTTGTTAATCTCAGAATCTGTGCCTTTCTCTAGTCAGTTCTGACACTGACTGCTGCTTCCTGCAAAGAGGTGAGATGATTTAAGGATTCTGAAATAATTTTACCAGTCTGCTTCAGTACTAAACTATTCTGATTTGGCAGACATGAATTACGTCTGCTGTACAAGTCTTTCCTATGCATTTTAAATTCATATAATGCTGTTGTAAAGTTATGTCTATAGGCTTTAGAACTGGTTGAGAATTTTTAACACTATTTTTTTTACTGAAAAATGCTGATTCATCAAATCCTGCATTGTTTGTGAAACAGGTTTGGTTTCTACAAATCTCCCTAGAAAGTTCAACAAATGTCAACACGAAAAAAAATGGAAAAACAATTTTTCAAGTGTTTAAAATGTTCTGTTTTCACATTTTCATACCCCAGGTTTTGGGGGGGTGGGGAGGGAATGAATTTTTGGTCCATGGATACTTTCAAGGTTTGGTCATTTTGAGTCCCAATTTGGGACAGGAATTCTTTTTGATATCTGTTTATGGAGCAGGAAAATCATTTCCTGCCCTGCTGTAAGAGGTATCTTTAGCAGCCTGTAAATAATACTATGCAAACCCAATTGTATATAAAACCAAGGATCTTAGGAAACAAATAATCCTTAAAGAGGACTTTTTATTTTTGGTAGAAATTAATTACAGTTTCGCATATTGTGCTTTTATTATCAAAGCATAATATCCTTCAGATATCAAAAGCAACCAAAGCATAGATGAAGAACACTTAGGTTTCTCAAAAATGCATTATTTTATCCTCTTTCCTCATGGTGTGAATTCAATCTTTCCTCAGCTGTTTCCTGGAATGTTTCACAAACAAACAAACAAACAAACAAAAACACCAAACCTATGGCCCTATTAGGGTTAATTCTTTTGCATAGACACATATGACCATAAATTGGTCGGTAGTACATGTTCTTTTGCTAACATTGTGACTGGGAACAAGAAGAATACAGCCACAATAATACACAGCTGTCAGCTAAAAGTATTGCGTAAAGGCATCTTTGGCCATGTAGGCTCTTGGCTTTTTGGAAACAAGTGATCTGCATTGCGAGCATGACAAAGAAAATAGAAATGTTTAGAATTAAGAAGAGGCGGGTATAAAATGCTGATATTGATGGGACACTGCTTCGAGCAGTGGTCACCATTTGTTCCAGACCAGACTGGCCTTTGATTAATGCATCATTATTGTGCTTCACATAAGTAATATCTGCAAAATCTAGAAGGTCTTTCATTTCCTCGTCCTCATCTACAGGTAACTCTTCTTGTGCCAGAGTCTGTGCCTTCTGTCGCACTTTTCTTTCATTTACTTCAATTTGTGCAAAGATGTCAGGAATGGCATCAACAAACTTGTAGCCCTTGGCTACCTTTTTGTATTTCTTTGCCCTGACTTGCTGCTGCTGCTGGGAGATAGCAAATAGTCTATCAATGGCTTCTTCCGTCTGTCTCTTATCTGAAAATCTCAATAGGCGTTCAGCAATCTTTCTAAAGCTATCTGTGTTCCGCACACGAGACAGAATCTGTTTCTCAAGCTGCTGGAAGACAGGTTTGAAATGCTGAAGATTCTGCTCCACAATCTCAACATAATTTTTCACCTCTGGTACAGCAGAGTTTCTTATGGTAGAGGTGCGGTCAAACAAAATCTCTTGGCGATCTGCAATAATTTGTGCAAAGACAGAATGGTCTCCATCCTCACCAGTCCACAGGTAAACAGCATAAGCATGCTCACTGGTAGCTATGAAGACATCCAGTTGCTGAGAATCTCCATGAACACTGAAACTTTGGACATCTATGGAAGGTCCTATGAAGAGGTAAATTGCTCTGGTGACTGGGTTCCGCAGGTGGGTTGTAACATTCACATAGTTTGTTCCATTGTAGGGGTAGCCCCGGGGATACATTTTTGAGACAACAGTAGCTTTCTCACTGTAGCCAGTGTCATCCATCCAGTACATCTTATACATCCCATCATGATGCCTAATAAAAGCCCCATGGACATCGTCAATAACTGTCTCTTCAAAAGGCACATCAACATTGTGGAAGAAGCTGGTGGCTGCCTCCAGGGGGCTGTCATCTTCAAGATGAATTAGGTCCACAAGCAATAAAAGCTGGGGATGCAGAAGTAAAAGGTTTCTTTGGAAGTTTTTCAACTTGAGTTTTGGGTTGTAAGCATCCACTCCTTCTCCCCTAATAAAAACCACTCCACTTCTCTCCATTGCAGCAACCACTCTGCCCTGGCAATCTGCAGCCAGGTCATGTTTGTATTTCAACCACTTTGATGAACAGTCCTCTGTAACCTGCCCTTCCCATGGGGAGAAGCAGCTCTTTGACACAGCTGGGGAAAACATCACCACATTGTTAAAGAAGGTGTACTTTGGCCCATACAGGGCTTCAGTTATGAAAGGTACACCATTGGGAGCAAAGGTAAAGGAGTTCTGATCAGGGTGCTCGTGGCCAGCATTAAAGTTTCTCCACCCTTTGATCCACTCTTTGTACTTATTCTTATGAACAATATCATATATTGCACGGCCTCCCAGTTTTCCCGATTTGAAGGAGAGGAAGGGCCTGTTAATTTCAGCTGGCAATGCACTTCCATATGTTACAACTCCCCAGTCCTCAAAATAATGCAGCTTTGGAATACCATAGTCCGGCGGAGGTACAGAGTGCAAGCTTGCATCATACCTGCCGAAAGAAAATACATGATTTTACACTTAGATGCAAAAATTGGACTTGATTGCTTTATTTGTTTTCCACCTATCTAGAATGAAAAGACTTTTGCAATATTTAAAAGAAAGAATTGTCCAACAATATAAAACCCACAGTAGACTTTCTAAGTGATCTAATCATACAAGGACAAAGATACTCATCATAGTAATGCCCCATACATATACTAGTATGTATCAAGTGTGCCAAAGCACCTACATTCACACAGTGGTCCTGTGGTTCTGGGGAGTGGTAGGTGGGGGGGGGGGGGGGGACACA